ATTCAGTCTTAAAAGGTTGTGTGTTTCTAGGAATTTATCCATGTTTTCTAGATTGTCCAATTAGTTAGCATATAATTGTTTTCAGCATTTTCTTATAATTCCTTATATTTCTGTTGTGATTTCTCTTTCATTTCTAATTGTATTTATTTGGGCCCTCTTTTTTTTTTCTTGATGAGTCTGGTGAAAGGTTTATCAATTTTACTTTTCAAAGAACTTGCTGTTGGTTTCATTGATTTTTTCTATTGTGTGTGTGTGTGTGGTTTTTTTTTTTTTGTTCATTTATTTTCCCTTTGATTTTTATTATTGATATTTTCCTTCTGTTCATTTTGGGCTTTGTTAAGGTTAGATTATTTGAGATTTTTTTGTTTCTTTAAGTAGATGTATGAATCACTCTTTTAAAACTGCTTTTGCTGTGTCCCATTTTTGGTCATGTGTTTGCATTCTCATTTGTTTTAAGCCACCTTTTGATTTCCTAACTTGATCTCATTGTTAACTCATTTATTTAGTAGTATGTTGTTTAGCCTCCATGTGTTTGTGGGTCCTCCCCCCTCTAATTTTCTTCTTGTTACTGATTCCTAATTTCATACTGTTTCGATCAGAGAAGATGCTTGATGGGATTTCTACTTCTTAAATTTATTGAGACTTGGTTTGTGGCCTATTCTAGAAAGTGTTCCACTGCACTTGAAAAGAATGTATATTCTGCTATTTTTGAATGAAATGTCCTATAAATATCTATTAAGTTAATCCATTCTAATGTTTTATTCAGATCACTTTCCTTGTGGATTTTTGTCTGGGTTATCTACCCATTGATGTGAGGTGCTATTATTGTATTACTGTGGATCTCTCCCTTTATGTCTGACAATATGTGCATTATATATTTAGATACACCTACATGGGTGTGTAGATGTTTGAGTTATGTTCTCTTGTTGGATTGATCCATTTATCATTATAAAATGTTCTTTGTCCCTTATTATAGCCTTTGAGTCTATTTTATCTGACATAAATATTGCTACCCCAGCTCTTAAAATTTCCATTTGTATGAAATATCATTTTCCATTTCTTTAATCTCTGTGTGTCTTTTGATCTGAAGTATGGAAGCATATGTGTAGGTCTTATTTTATCTATTCAGCTACCTAATGTCTTTTGACTAAAGCATTTAGTCAATTTACATTTAAAGTAATTATTGACAGGTATGTAATTATTGCATTTTATTAAATTTTTGATTGTTTTTTGTGGTTCTTCCCCTCCTGCTCTCTTCTTTTATGTATTTATGACTTTGCATAGTATTTGTTTGGATTCTTTTCTATTTGTTGTATATCTCATAGATTTTTGGTTTATAGTTACCATGTGCTTCATATAGAACAGGATGCTTTAAGCTGATGGTTGCTTTTAGAACACATTCTAAATAACATTTTTTCCCCTGATACTTCATTTGTTTTGTCATTTACCTCTTTTATATGTGTTTCTGTGTATCCCTTAATTTATTATTGTATTCATGCATATTATTCCTACTTTTGCCTTTAATCTTCATACTAGCTTTATAATAGGTTGATCCACTACCTTTACTAAGTATTTGTCTTTGTGAGATATTTTTTTTTCATGTATTTTCTTTTTAGTTTTGACCTTTTCTATTTAAATAAGTTCCTTTAATATTTCTTATAATATTGGTTTAGTAGTGATGAAATCCTTTAGCTTTTGTTTGTCTGGGAAATGTTCTCTCTCTTTCAATTCTAAATTATAACCTTGCTGAGTAATCTTGGTTGTAAATTGTCCTCTCTCACTTTGAATGTTTTATGCTATTTCCTTCAGGCCTGAAAAGTCTATTGAAAAATCTTCTAGTTTTCCTGTGGGAGCTCTTGGTACTGTTAAAATTCTATCTTTAACCTTTGGCATCTTGTTAATTTTTATTGATTTCAGAGAGGGACAGGGAGAGAGAGAAACATCGGGGATCAGCTGCCTCCTGCATGTCCCCTACTAAGTATCAAACCTGCAACCTGGGCATGTGCCCTTTGACTGGAGTCGAACTCAGGACCCTTCAGGCTGACTTTCCAGCCACTGAATCAAATCAGCTAGGGCTAACCTTTGGCATTTTAATCATGATTTATCTTGGTGTCAGCCTCTTTGATTTCATCTTGCTTGTGACTTTTTGTGCTTCCTGTGCTTCCTGGACTGTGTATATTTCCTTCACCAGATGAATGAAATTTTTTACCATTTCTTCAAGTAGGTTTTCAATCCCCATGTCTCTCCCTTCTCCTTCTGAGAACCTTATGATGTGAATGTTGTGCTCTATGCTGTCCCAGAAGTCACTTAAACTATCCTCATTTTCTAAAATTTTTTAGATCTTCTGATTGGGTATTTCTACTAACTTGTCTTTCAGGTAGCTCAGATCCTCTGCTTCATCTAATCTGATGTTTATTTGTTCTAGTCTAGTTTTCATTTCACTTATTACTTTCTTCAGCTCTAAATGATACTTTAAAAACATTTTTTTAAATCTTTTTGTTGAAATTCTCTTGATCTGGTATATGGCTCATCTCCATTTAATTTAGTACCATTACTGGAGTTTTCTTCAGTTTTTCCAGTTAAGTTTCTCTGTCTCCTCATTTTGGCTGACACTTTCGTTTTTATTCTTAATTAATTGGAGTTACATTGATTAATAACTTCATATAGATTTTGGGTGTACAACTTTATAATGACATCTGTATACTCTATTGTGTGCTCACCACCCCCAAGTTTAGCCTCTTTCCATTACCATATATTTGACCCAATTTACTCACTTTGTCATCCCTCCTCCCCCACTTCTGGTAACTACCATTCTGTTATCTGTATCTATGAGTATGGCTTTTTTTATATCTTACAAATGAGTAAATCATGTTTCCTGTCATTTTTATGACTGAGTTTTTCACTTAGCATAATATTCTCAAGATCCATCATTGTCACAAATGGTAGTATTTCACTTTCTATGAATGAATACTATTCCATTGTATAAATGTACCATATCTTCTTTAAAAATATTTTGATTTTTTACAGAAAGGAAGGGAAAGGGATAGAGAGTTAGAAATATCGAAGAGTAATATTGATCAGCTGCCTCCTGCACACCCCACGCTGGGGATGTGCTTGCAACCAAGGTACATGCCCTTGACCGGAATCGAACCCAGGACCTTTCAGTCCGCAGGCCGACACTCTAGCTATTGAGCCAAACCGGTTTCAGCTGAATCATATCTTCTTTATCTAATTATTCATTGAAGGACACTTAGGTTGTTTACCTGTCTTGACTATTGTGAATAATGCTGCAATGAATGTAGGGGTACATTCATTAACAAGATGCCAAAGGTTAAAGACAGGTTATAAATATTTTCAAAAATTTCAGGTAGCTTCCCAGAAGAGGGATTGATATGGTAGCTATAAATTTCTTTTAGGAACCATCATATTGTTTTCTATAGTGGCTGTACCAATTTACATTCCCACCAGCAGTATATAAATTTTCCTTTCTCCATCTCTAACACTTGTTATTTCTAACAGGTATGAGGGGGCATCTCATTGGAGTTTTGACTTTCATTTCCTTTATAACTAGTGATATGGAGCATCACTAGCGAATAGATTTTTAAATTTCTCCTTCTGATTGTTATTAATGCATAGAAACAAATTTATGTACATTAATTTTGTGTCCTGCTACTTCATTCTATTTTTCAATGGATTCTTTAGGGTTTTCTATACAGTATCATGTCATCTGTAAGTAATTTTCTTTCTTTCCAACTTGGAGGCCTTTTATTTCCTTTTCTTGTCAGATTGCTAGGACTTCCCATACTATATTGAATAACAGTGGTGAGAGTGGGCACCCTTGTCTTTTATTCTGATCCTAGATTTTTCAGTCATTTATGATAGCTATGGCCTTGTCCTGTATAGCCTTTCTATACCCACTTTGACAAAATCCAACGTCCATTTATTGACAATCATATGACTTATCTTTAGTTTTATTAAACCTTTCACTCCTGGTATAAACCCCACTTGATCATGGTGTATAATCTTTTTATTATTATTGAATTTGGTTTGCTAATATTTTGAGAATTTTTGTATGCATTTCATCAGGGATATTGGTCTGTAATGTTTTTTTGTCTGGTTTTAATAAATGCTGGTTTTATAGAATGATTTTGGAAGCACAACCATATGTGCTAGTGCTGCAATGCCTGCTAGTTCTGAACATTCTCCAGGCAGGGCAGCCCTGCCTGCAGGCTCTGTAATGCTTGGCTAGCTCTACTTTCTCTGGGCTACACATGTATATGAGGCTCCCAAACACAGTGGTTGCATGTAGCAGTGCCCAGCAGTATTTACCAGATTTGCCCTGCACACGGCACCCTTCTATTCCTGCTGGAGCTAGCTCGAAAGGGATGTCTGGGATTGCTAAAGCAGCCCAGGACTCCCACCCACTGTCCAAGTGCAGGGAAACAAACTGGTGCTCACTGGTTCCTCCTACCTTCTCTCTGTGGTCTCTCTCTCACTTGGTCTGCAGAAGTTGTGCCATTGGCCCTCAGCTGACTCTCAGGGGAAACTGTTCTAAATGGGAGCGGGTGAGCTTAGCCTCTTATGAGGCCATCTTGGACCTGCTTCTGAAACCAGTTACTTTATTGCAGAACTTTCTAGAATCTCTACTATACTAACGTGTGTTGCGAAACTCAACGAGGAAAACATATGCAGCAGTTTTTGTCTGTTCATTTTGTCCCCTATTTGTGGCTAAAGGGACAGGTATTTTGAGAGAACTTTGTAAACAATCTCTATTCAATATATGATGGACAAAAATTCAACAAGTCACACTGCTGTCATGGCCTTGCCAGTTTAATCATTCAGTGTATTTGAACATCAAACTGTAGCTTTAGCTATAACATTCAGCAGTCATCACATTCAAAATATCCTTTCATGTGCAGACACATCTACCTGTACATGCATATTTCTAAAGCAAGCTAAGCAGAGAAACCTCCACGATGCCCTCTTTTTTCTTTAAACAGCATTTGCCGTCTACCAGTCGCTGCCTTATTTTGAGTCATTCGGCACTTACTCCACAAAGCTGCCCTTTGACCTATCCATCTACTTCCCCTATGTGCTGAAAATATACCTCATGATGCTCTTTATAGGTAAGTGGCGTTTGTTTTGTGCTGCCATCACCCTCAACAGAAAGGTCTACACACATGGGAAAGAGCTGAGAGGAAGCCTGACACAATGAGTTAGACCTTGTTAGTAAAGCACCTACAAAATTATACTAATTTTTTTTTCAAGATCAAACGAACCAGAACAGTTTTACTAGCAGAAAATGAAACTACATTAGATATGAAATATAGAAGTAAAAAATAAGCAGTCCTATTTCTGATTTTTCCATTTATTTAGTTATCTGTTCGTTTCTTTCCTAGCAAGTAAGAAAAATGTATACAACAAAAACTTGGTCAATTTCCCAGGAAATGGGGAAAAAGACTTCCATTATTAAATTTTAGCTTCCCCAGCTCTAACCATCACAAATCCCCAAGAACAGTGATTATTGCTACAAGGTAACAACTGTCAAGTATATATGAGCCACACACAAGAGAGAAGACAAATGTGAACCATTAGGAGAGGTGGAGAGAGCTTCCCTTGAAGAAAGGGAAAAAGGAATTCTTTCAATAAAAAATCGGAGAGATGGAAGGGGTTTGCTTTCCTTTCCTTCTGAGAATCTCTCCTGACAGCGGTCTGAGCCCCGGCCTCCAGGCAGCGCTCTACCTGTATTTTAAAACTATGGTTTGTGCCAAAGAAATGACTAATCAGTCTTCTTACTTTTACCATTTCCTTCTTCACGATAGGCATGTATTTTATCTACAGCCATCTTTACTCAGAAAGAAGAGACTTCCTCAGAGTCTTTCCCATTAAAAAGAAGAACCTGTGAGCAGCATGCTGCTGTGACGTAAGGACAAAGGCCGAGGACTCCGCTGCAGACACACCGCAGGAAGCGGGGAAGACGGAGTGTGAGACAGAAACCCATCACGTGACCTCCTCCCGGCAGCCTGTGGTTCTCTCACGTCATGTTTTCAAACAGACTCTGAACAACCTGCTTCTCCAAAGCTGTGGATTTAGACAAGTTTATATTGTCTGAAGCCTGATACTTTCCTGTAAGGGTAATGAGAAATAGATTCAACTAACGTGAGATGTAGTTTTAACAACTTTGGTTTCTTTTCACTTCAGAATTCCCCGGTAGCAGCAAGTCTGCAGGAGGGAGCGCTGTGAGGGATGGTCTGCAGGGTCCACAGTCACAGTTTGTACACGTCACTGTTCCCAGAGGTAACACTGGTCAGAAACACTTAGAAAAGGAAAATAACTCCCCACATTCCTTACATTGAGATAAAAGCTAAGAAAATTAAGAACCAGTCATGTTTCAAATCATGTATTATTGAACTACTATTAATTACTCTAATGTTATAAGTCATCACTTACTAGTATAGTTTTGAAAATTGATCCTTTCTTTGAAGATTTATAATATATATGAATAACTGATTAATGGAATAATTTCTGAATCACTGGTATATTATTCACTTTTCTTGAAATAATTATAGAATCGTATTGTCCAGCAACTATATAAAAAGGGTACTAAATATTTTGTTACATAAAAACCAGGTAGTAAAAATGTAATTAAAAAAATTAATTTTACACCATAAATAAATCAAAGAAACTATAAATTTAATGTCATATTTAGAATTTTAAGTATTAAGATTACCCTTTTTAAAAAGCAACATTTTGCTTTTAAAGGTGCTTATTTTACTTCTAAATTAAAAAAAAGTTACTGTGCAAATACTCCCTTAGTGTGCAACTGGAGGTGACTTAGTCTAGCTCCCTCCCAATAAAAATGGCCACATACATTGCTGAAATATTCATCTAGAATCACTAAAACAAGAACTAGAGAAACTATATATAACTTTAATTTTTTAAAAGCAAATTACCTGAAGAACCTTCCTACTTCTTAAAATATTAGACCAAAAAGAAACAGAAGTAAAATTATAATTATGGTAATTTTGAAACAGAATAAGGATTGACAATTTGAGATATGTGCAGCAATTGTAACAAAAAATTCTGTAATTTTCTATGGTGACATTGTCACAAATGTTAGTATTATTGTGGTTGCTTATATTATACTGAATTTCACTAGAGATTAGTGGAAGAAGAAAGCATCCTTAAATTCATGTTCCCCAGGTTAAGAAACCAAGAGCGTAACCATCTAATTAATTGGCTGTTACCAAGATTGAGAAATTTATTTCTTTGGCTATTTTAACTCTGTGTCCATCAAATCTCTATTGTATTTTGTTCAGTGTGGTGAAAGCGCTTCTCTAATATAAGAACCATTAGATATTTTCAAAGCATAAGATATAACTTCTAAATGAACTTTCTTTGAGTAATATACTTGGCATTTGAAACTCCAAAGTTCTAAACAACAGTGTCTAATATCAGAGTCCTGAGCTTTTCCTTTATCAAAGTAGTTGTATACAGAACAAAGAACACTTCTTCCCAATATCTTCGTTCAGTTTTATTTTACTATAGTATGCTTGTCAAAAAGCACTGCTATTCTGGTCTTAGCTTTTGATTCAATAAACAGGTCACCTTAGTAGAGTGAGTCGGCTGTGTACACATGCCTATGTACACTCAAGAAACATATTGTGCCAACAATGTACCAATCATAGGTCAACACGATAAAATCTTTTCCAAGTTTGTATTAAAGAAGGTACCACAGCTCACTAAGGTACCACAGCTCACTAAAGTCCCTAAGAAAGTTGGTAATTTCTGTTTTACTATATCATACTCTGCCTCTGAAGAGCAAATTGTCACACAAAAGAATCTGTTTCTGAAGTAGCTAGAACATCAAGTTTAAATGTTTCTCTGAAAAAACGTGCACTTAAAATTTACGCGCAAAGACCACAGTTACATTTTATTTCATTGTGCTAAAGTATTGAAGTGATTTAAATAAAAATGACCTTTCCTTTCCCATTTTCCTCTCATTTATTTTTGCTTTGAAACATTATTTTGGTTTTCGGTCACTTTACTTTCTTCTTCTGGACCTGAGGGATATGCTAATTTTGACTTGGCACTTTTCTCTAGGTCATTTATTCGAAGTAATTCAGGGAGCAATGGTCACAGTTAACCAGATTTGGAATGCAGATTCCTGGGCTCCCACTAAAGATATGCGGAATCAGAGCCATTGGGAATGGCCCAGGAACATGCATTTTGACAGACCCCATCACACGCTGCTGTTTGAGAACCACTACTTTTGAGTCTAATGTATTTAGCTTTGGACAGAAAACTGCTAATAACTATTTAAATAGCTATTAGCATGTTGACTTTTATTTAAAGTCAACATACAATGTTCTGTTTTTAAAACTGAGATGACATTCATTTTTGTTAATCCCCACCTGAGGATATTTTTTTCAGAGTGGAAGGAAGGTGAGGAGGAGGGGGAGAGACAGACTGGTTGCCTCCCACACACTCCTCGGCCAGGGGCAGGGAGCGAACCGGCAAACCAGGTATGTGCCCTTGACCAGGAACTGAACTAGACCCTTCACTGTACTCTAACCGCTTAGCAACGCCAACTCAGGCTAACATTCATTTTTGTTCTTATGCTTATCTAGTTTTTAAACATATTAAATAAGAATTATTAAAAGGGTAGCTGGCATTTTATTTTTATTTTTAATATATTTTATTGATTTTTTTACAGAGAGGGATAGAGAGCTAGAAATGTCGATGAGAGAGAAACATCTATCAGCTGCCTCCTGCACACCCCCTACCGGGGATGTGCCCGCAACCAGTGTACATGCCCTTGACCGGAAATCGAACCCAGGACCCTTCAGTCCACAGACCGAGGTTCCACCACTGAGCCAAACCGGTTTCGGCAAGTAGCTGGCATTTTAAATATGACAAGATTAGTCAATTCTATATGAAAATCAATTCATAAAAAATATCCCTTAATTCACGAGATACACACAGGTGCCCATTGTGTACTCACATTGTGGTATTCAGCTGGCCTGTGGGGTCCTGGGAGGGAGATGCAGTCCGGAGTTGGACTGGCCTGGATTTGAAATCCTGCTCCAACATTTAGTACCTTCAGGCCTGCACTGAAGCATCACAACTGCTATTTGTTTTCAGTGAAACATGTAAAAGGGGCAGCAATTTATAAAACACATTTTTGTATTCTTTCTTTTAACCCCCTACCAATGCTTCGTGAAGTTGGTTTTATTTCCTGGATTAAAGGAAAAACCTAAGTCAGGGAGCCATCACTGCCATTTTCATATTCATTCATTTAGCTGGATGTCCCTTCACCAGTTCCCTCAGTTTGAAAAGTACTGAATGACTTTCTAAACTGCAATTAAGAAGTGCTGTTTGTGAAGATTAATCCATTACATGCCAACTTAAGCACTTAACGATACGTCACACATTTAAAAAGAACTTCCAGATTCTGAATAAAGTATTTCCTTCCAGGAAATATAAGAACATATTACCTTGTCCTAGGCCAGGGCAACGATGATACATTTACACGTGAAGGTGATGCTGTGGGGGTTTCCACGCGGGAGTTGAGGGATGTGAACCGTCCCATCTGCGTTCAGTCCCGTGGTTCCAGGTGGAATGCCTGCAGCTAAGAATTGGCTGGTTTCGCCATGCTGGTGGGGCTCAGTGACTGGGCGTCGACCTATGAACCAGGAGGTCACTGGTTTGATTCCCTGGTTCAATTCCCGGTCAGGGCACATGCTTGGGTTGTGGGCTTGATCCCAAGTAGGAGGCATGTAGGAGACAGCCAATGAATGATTCTCATAATTGATGTTTTTATCTCTCTCTCCCTTTCCTTTCCTCTCTGGATTCAATATTTATAAACACACATGGATTCAATATTTATAAACACACATATACACATACACACATGCGTGTAAAAAGAATAGGCTGGTTTGTGTCAGAGATACAAACTGATCAGAGATGAGGCCTACAACTCGAGCTTTAAAGAAGGCCCGTCCTCTTAACCAAATGTTCTGATTTCTCTTCTAAAACAGCAATTTACCAAAAACCTAAAACTACTTACTTTCAAAGCAACTAAGTTATTTCAAGATACTAGTTGAGCCCTTAACAAAGTCTTATTCTTCATACAATTAACCTGAGAAAAGTTAACCCTGGCAATTAACTTTAAAAAAAAAAAAAAAAGAGGTTAGTCACAGCCTATTAGTTACCATGGAGCATTACATTACGAATAAACACAAAGAGTTCAGGCACGTACATGAATCCCGACATCTGCTCCTAGCAAGAACCAGAACAAGAACCAGGGTGGTGGGTATTTCTGAGACACCTGGCTTTAACCCCACACGTTAATTTGTTAATCCATCCCAGCATACTATTGGTCTTGGCAATTTATTATTTCAAAAACTAACAGAAGATGGTCTGCAAAGAAACTTCCTTTTGAATATAGTTTGTACAACTTCTGGTCTAAAAAAGCAGACTTGTGGTTTCTAGAGAACCAAGTGAAGTTTCCCAAGAGGATAATTTAATTCTTACCTGGGGTCCTGCCTGCGGGGAATCCAGTCACCTATTCCGGTGACCTATGTTAGAAGGCTGAGATTTTAGAACTTTTAAGATTTTCAAACTAACAATCTTCCATTTTGGATTCTTTAGAGCACATGTGTCAAACACAAGGCCCGCGGGCCAAATCCTTGATAGCCTGTGAGTTGGTTAACAGCACTGTTAAGGAAAAGATTGTTCCACTCATTTTAAATTCACATTTCTGGTTAACATTGTCAGTTTATGACTGTTCAGTAAACCATTCGGCCCGCGATTTAGGCTGGATTTTAGATTTTGGCCCCTTCTCTGATTGAGTTCGACACCCCTACTTTAGAGGTTCCCATGCATAGGAAAACCCCATACATTTTATGCTCCAGGCTGCTGGAGACAAAATAGGGAGCCAGGGAAGAGAGGACTAAGGTCTATCTTCCTTCCCCCTTCGCATTCGTCTGTTTTCTGGTCAAAGCCAGGAGCAGAGACAACGTTTGAATGGGAGGAGACGGGGCTGTAGCAAAAACAAAGTCGGGGTTAGAAGTCTGGGCTGGCTCTTCACCCTTTTCCTGGGCAGCAGTGCGCGCTCTCAGGGAAATGCAGAGCAGCTCTTCAGAGTGTGACACGGAGACAGCTCTGTGTGTGAAACCTGCACTCTGCTCTTCACCACCACCCAGGGGAGCGGCCTGCTCCGGGACCTCAGGCCCTTCCATCCACGAAGGATCTGTCCCTTTGCGCCGCAGCTCCTAGTCCTCCCAACCCCAGAGACTCCCTCACGGAGGCAGGCTTGCTGCTCTGATCTGATCACAGAAATCTGTGGTAATCATAGGACGCCATAGGTTTACTAACGCACATTAACCCATAAGCACATGAATACAACGTGCAATCCTTGGTGGGAATTTTCATCGTAAAGTGAGTGTTGACGAGCCTGAGGCAGTGAAAAGAGCACTGGACCTGGGGCTCTAGGAGCTTGGTCAGAGGCGTAGCTTTGCCCTTACTGGAAGTGCCTTCTCCATTTAAAATTGGGAGATAAGCCGAAACTGGTTTGGCTCAATGGATAGAGCGTCGGCTTGGGGACTGAAGGGACCTGGGTTCGATTCCGGTCAAGGCCATGTACCTTGGTTGTGGGCATATCCCCAGTAGGGGGTGTGCAAGAGGCAGCTGATTGATGACTCTCTCTCATCGATGTTTCTAACTCTCTATCTCTCTCCCTTCCTCTCTGTACAAAATCAATAAAATATATTTAAAATAAAATAAAATAAAAATGGAAAATAAGACCTAGTCACAGTAAGAGTTAAATGAGATCATCCAAGTGAAAGCTCTAGCGCACTAACAGTCTGGCATCTAACAATAAATATTAGATAAATAATTTAAGAAAATGTACGTGGGTGGGAAAAAGAGGGAGGCTGGCTTCTAACATAGATATTCAACCTCTCTTCCTCCTTCAAATCCATTTCCCACTAGCCCTGCCTCTAAAGATTATGAAATATGGGCAACGCAGGTCCATACTACCTGAGAGCTGGCCTTCCCTTCCCTTTTCCTCTGTAGGTGTCTTGGCACCCTGTGGAGTTCAGCCAAGGAAAGAACTGTGCCCTGGTGACAGAGTGTAAGTCACACAGTGAAACACAAACCCAGCTATTGGAAAAACAACCAGCAGATCTATTCTAACCCAAGTGCAGGTAGGTTCACTTGGGGACACCATCCAGGTAAGGTCACAGGGGAACCCTGAGCGTTCCCAGGTGCTTGGAAAGCAGCAGGCACTGCGCTATAGTGTGACAGACACAAAACACCATTATCCCAAACGTTTCTCCCCAGCGACCCACAGGTGTACTCCTCAGCATGCTTATATGGCTGGCTAAAGGCAACCCTGATTTAATAACTGCATGGAGGAAAATGGCAAATATCAACATTAAAATGCTGGCTGAGCCGAAACCAATTTGGCTCAGTGGATAGAGCATCAGCCTGTGGACTGAAAGGTCCCAGGTTTGATTCCGGTCAAGGGCATGTATAATACCTTGGTTGCGGGCACATCCCCAGTAGGGAGTGTGCATGAGGCCGTTGATCGATGTTTCTCTCATCGATGTTTCTAACTATCTCTATCTCTCTCTGTAAAAAATCAATAAAATATATTTAAAAAAATAAAATACTGACTGATTCTCAAGCCCTTAAGTAAAATGCAACTCTTGAGGACATGGTCACATACCTTCATTTACTTGTCATGAGGCCACTAGATGTCCTGATTAAGAAAGGGATGTGTACTTATAAAACAGACTCACCTTTCAAGGAGTATTTGTCATTTTTTGCTTGCCGAGCATCCCAATTCAGGTGGACCAGGCCTGGTCAGGTAGAGGACCCCACTTCCCGGGAACTCACCTGGACTTGAGATGAGTCAGAGTCCTCCCCACATGGCCGCTGCCATGCCTGTGAGCAAAGATACCTTTCCTTCCATGGAGGCTGCTGGC